GAATAACTAACAAGAGTTATCTGCAATTGATAGGTCTTACCAAAAATGCATTCCATTAGGTATCGCATCTCAATATCGTTACTATCATGCTTTCATACTAAATTGTATAAAAGCATAATAACAACGATACAGAAAAAGCTCTTCGAGCAAGAAAAGACAAAGCTATACAAAATGTAGCGAGCATGAATGAAACTGCAACAAAGGATTGCAGAAAGTGATTTGATTAGAGAAACTAACTTATTTAAAAATTGGCATGCATTTGCCTCCCTATTGCTGTATTTTCCTTTGCTAGCAATCAAATTCACAGCAGAAAAAGAAAAATTTTCATGCATCCAGTTTTGCCCTTTTAAAGGTGGCTTCGTCCGCAATCGGAAAATCTAATCTACTTACATATATGTTGACAGCTGTGATTTTTTGAGATAACTCAGTTGGTTTCAATTTTAGCTTCTGAGAACTATGGAGTAGGTTCCAAAAAAAAGTTTATGGAGGTATTTCCACTTTTCGATGATTTATTTGCTGGATCTCCCTAATTTACCCTACGATGGATAATAAGTTACCTAAGTGTTCTTCAGTCACATGTTGCAGTACGACCCAAAGTCCACAATGATAGATGAGTTCGGCGATTTCTTCGATCGCTTTGGCTATCGCTACCAGTTACGTGGATCATGTGTCGCCTACAAAGTGCACAGAAATAAAACACAAGTGGCAATTCCTCATACTGTCGAGGTAAGTGCACTGTTGCCTACAGTCCCCTGTCACGCTACAGCTGTATCGTTGCTATTCAGCTGTCAGCAAGGATGACTAACAACCGAAGCATACGTGCGACAGATGCTGAAAGAGTGGCGCATGAGGTCAGTTTCGTCGCGATTTACCATTTTTTTACTCTGCAAAAACATTTTTAAAAAAAGTATTTTTTTTGACTAAGACTTGGAGAAAATGCTTATACTTGTACTTTTACAGATATACCAAGAACTTTCAATGGATGGTGCTCGTTTTGCAAAGAACATCGAAGTGATCTCTGCTTAATATCGCCCTCATATACATACTACCGCCGTTCCTCCACACTTTACTTGCCTGATCTCTACCGTTGCAAGCGTATGAGCAAAATACTTGTAATACCTTCTTATAGTTTCAATAAAAGTCAGCCCTTGACAGGTATTTGATTGCTTC